GCAGCCGTCCGTCGTTGGAGGGGGGCGGGTCGCTCACAGGTACTCGAAGGGCCCCTCGGCGCCTCCCCAGCCCGTCTTGGCTGAAGTTGATGAAGGGGTGACTGTTCCCCTAGTAGGTGATGCCGCATTGCAGCAGACTTTGCAAGAGTGGTTGCCGATTTGGTGCAAAGATAATCGAGCTGGCGAGCCCCCGCCTTGGGACTGGAGGTGTGAAGATAGCTTGCCGCCGATTACCTCTGAGGAGGTCCTTGCGGCTGCCAAGTCGTTTCCCCCAGGCACGGGCCTGGGGTGGGATTCCTTTCGCCCCCAGCTCCTTCTTCAGGTCTCCCCCGCGCTTGTCCAGGCCTTCGCCGATATCCTCATGGCTTGGAAACGGGACCCCTCAGTGGGCCCGTTGTGGCTCGTCGTGGTTGTGTTTCTTGCGAAACCGTCAGGGGGGGTCAGGCCTATCGGCATCCTTCCCCTCTGGGCCCGAGTGTGGAGCAGGATTCGGCATGCCAGGTGCGCGGCGTGGGAAAGGGAGCTGGACGCGCCCTTTTTCTGGGGTTTGAGCTCGTCCACTGCATGCGACAAGAGCGCATGGGTTCACAATGCTATGGCTGCATTTGCTCGGGAAGCTCGGGGTTTAGTTTCGGGTACTTTGTTTCTGGACCTTGGCAAATTCTACGAGCAGTTCAGCCATGCGGAATTACTTGCGGCAGCTGAGCAGGTGGCCTTTCCGAAGGCCCTCTTGAGGGCCTATTGCGCGGTTTACCGTTCCCCGAGGCGGGTGTCTTGGCAAGGGGCGATTTCCAGAATCGTCTCGCCGAACGGCGCCGTGATTGCTGGCTGTTCGGGGGGCACCTCGCTCGCTCGCCTGTTGCTCGTGTCGGTGCTGCGCAGAGTTGTATCGTCGTGCCCAACTGTTATCCTGAAAAGTGTCATTGATGATATTTCTTCTCAGTCCATCGGAGGCCAGGCCACGGCGTGCACTGAGCTTTCGTCGGCGTTCAATCTTGTCACCCAGGACCTCCAGGCTAGGGGCCTCCCAACTGCCTGGAACAAGCTTGGGCTCTTGGCGTCGTCAGCCTCCCTGGCCAACCAGCCGGCCTCGAGCTGCCAGCTCCCTGAAGAGGCCAGGTCGTCTGTCCACCGCGACCTTGGAGGGGGCGCGACGGATGGTGCAAGGCGGCGAGCGTCGACCCACCAGGCCCGTTTCCTGGAGGCCCAGGCCAAGGTGGCCAAGGTCCTCAGCCTCCGCGAGGCTGGCGCCCCGACGGGTGGAATCTTTCGGGCGGGGGTCACCGCCAAGGCTCTCTGGGGGGGCCAACATCCAGGGGCTGCCTGATGGAAAGCTGAAGAGTTTAAGAGTTGCGGCTGTCAAAGCCGAGGGGAGGCTGCCCAAGGGATGCTCGCTCGGATTGGCTTCGATGTGCACGCGTGGGGGTTGGCCGCGAGATCCCTTGGTGCAGGTCTCAGCTGACGCGATCAAGACGTATGTTCAGATTCTAAAGGGCGGCAGGCTGTCAGAGCGCGTGCTTTCAGTTTTGTTTGCGAAGGCCCAGGAGGTCGCCCAGAGGCCGAAACCTTGGACACTGGTCAAGGACCCTGTGTCCGCCCTGGTCTTGACCTGCCTGAGGATCGGGTTTGTCTTCCAGGGACCTTTCTCGGTGCAGGAGGCCCAGGGACAGGTTTGGGACCTGACTCAGGTCTCGGCCGCGTTCATGGCCAGGCGTGCGCGTTTTTCGGCGCGAAGGTTTTCGGACATAGCGGCCTTGGGCAAAACCGGACCAGGCAAGGCCTGGCGCGCAGAACTTTTTTGGCGTCCGCTGAACGAGCTGCTGCATAGAAGGATCGACGGGGAGGGCGAGGCTGTTGGGACGGGTGGTCCGTGGGGGGTCAGAGAGCAGCGTACGTTCCGAGGACTCCTCATGGGTTCTCATTGGTGCCAGCACAGGCTCAGCGAGCATGATCCTGAGCTGGCGTCAGAATGCCTGGTGTGTGGTGAGCGAGGCACTTTGTTCCATCGCCACTTTCAGTGCCAGGCTAGGTCGGCCTGGCGCCGCGACAATCTTCCCGTGTGTGTGCAGCGCGCAGCCAGCAGAGTTTCGACTTGCAGCATCGAGCTGCAAGAGCGTTTTTTCCAGAGGAATCCTTCCAGACCCGCGCCAGCTTCTGGCCAGGAAACCCTCGGATCCTTCCACGGAGTTTCGCGTTGACGGAGGCCTTGCTGGGCCGCTTTTGCTTTCCGAGGCGCATGTTTTCTGTGGTGGTTCAGGCCTCGATGGACTGTTCCCGTCCATGCGTGTTGCTGGATGGGGAGTCACCGTCTTCGATGAGTCACGCAGGTGTATTGCGGAGTGGCATGGTTCTGTGCCCCCAGCCACCTTGCCTGATCAGGTGGCGCGTGACGGCGAGGACTATAGTGTTTTTATCGTCTCGAAGCTGCGCGCTGGCGATTTCATTCTGTACTCTGACTGCAAGGGAACGCTCGACTGTTGTAAAAATAGAGCGCGCTCGGTCTCCTCGGCCAGCCCCAGGGCCCACCTCTGGATTCAGTCTTGGGCTTCGGGAGGCCTTGAGGGGGCCAGGTTTAAGAAGGTTCCTGCTCACGCCTCGGCCAAGGATGTCAGAGACGGCCTCTTGTCAGATTTCGAGCGCACTGGTAACCATGGTGCTGATAGGCTGGCCAAGCTGGGGGCCTCGCTTGTCCAGCACGATGAATGGGGCACCCGCCTGGCCAAGGGCTGCCTGTACCTGGCCCGTGAGGTGTTGCAATTTATAACGCGTGCGGAAGTCTACTACAGTGAGCTGGGGGTCCACGACAATGTAGGTGCCCAGGGCCTGTCTTTGGTTTCCCTGGATCCCCCCTCGGACCACGACGCTCGGCTCGAGTGGGCTCGGGTCGAGGATGAGGCAGCTGCGCCTCCCCCTCGTGTGGAGGCCCCGGCGGTCCCTGACCCTGCGGCTGCCGCCTCGCTGGGGAGATTCCTGGATAGGGCGTCCGAAGGCACGCAGCCGTGGAAGGCGGGGGGCCACTGCCTGTTGGAGTTTCCTGTGGAGTCTTCGGAGGAGGGAGAGGATCACCCACCCCTCCTCTTTTGCTCCACCTGTGGCAGCTACGCAACGACAGTCACAGGTTCCAGGGGCTTGCATTCTGGATGCCAGGGCTCGGCTCATTCTTTGGTCGGCCCTGGTAAGAAGAACGCGTCGAGTTTTTTGAAGCTCAAGCACCCGAATCGGGCGCGGCGGCTGGGACCCCCGAGATCTCCTGGGGCTCTGGCTCGCGAGCTTTTCGGTTCTCGGTTCCAGGTCGGAGGTTTGGGGTCCCAGCCGACGATTTGGACTTCGACAGCCCAGCAGTTTTCGGGAACCGCCACTCTCTGCATGGCTGACTGTCTCCAGGCTTTCGGGCTGAACGAGGTGGAGGCCCGTGAGCTCGGACGAGAGTTCCGGGTCCGACAGGCTGCTGCTGTCGAGCTCGACGAAGATTTTTCCTAAGGGGGCTCTGTCGCTGGCCCACGGTGCGCAGCCTATGCCGAGCCGCACCGTGGTGACAAAAAGGTCCTCTCCGATGGGCCCCCCTTTGGGTTTTTGGACCCGTCGGATTCTCTCTCTCTCTCTCTCTCTCTCTCTCTCTCTCTCTCTCTCTCTCTCTCTCTCTTTCTCCCCCCTTAGTGGCGTGCAATCCTCCTCCTCCTCCTCCTCCTCCTCCTCCTCCTCCTCCTCGACCTAGGCTCGCTTGGCTGCAAAGCGGGCCGCTGTGCCCCCCGAGGGTCTTTTTGAGGAAGTGTCCGCAGGGGCTCAGAGGAGGAAAAGGCGCCCGTACCTCTACTAAGGCGATCGCAAACATGGATTGAGGGGGCGTGGATTAGCGACGGGTCCCGTTTCCATGGGAAATCGCGGATTTCCGCCGCCGAACGGAGCGGCACTGGCCGCATTTTGGGGAGGGCACTTTCCCCGATCCATGGATTTGGCGACCGCGCGCCTAATCCATTGATCGCTAATCCATGTTTCGCGCTCCCGACTCTACCCTTCCCCGTTTTCCCTTTGGGGCCTCCTCGGCGGCCCTCATCGCCACCGCTGGATTCGCCTCGAAATTCTGGTCAGAACGCACCCTGGGAGAGATCCAGGGAGTTGCGGTGTCAGTACATTTTAGTATCCCCGGGGGCAGGGCTCGCACGTGGTCGCAGGCAGGGGGGGGCTGCTCACCAGGTGCAGTCCTCCCTACAAAAGGGACGGACAGATCAACTCAATCACCATAATGCAGCGCGCGATCAGGACGCAGGCAGAGTGAGCTCGTTTGGGCCAGAACATGGCTCGGCGTTCCTGACTGGGGGTCGCGTAATGGGGGGGGCGATACAGGGGGGGGGGCAGCGATGGCTGCAGAAAAGAAGGCCTTCAGGGCTCCTGAAGGGGCCCTTTAGGGACCCAAATGGGGCCTTCAATCAGGAGGGGGAAGAACACACAGACACAATTCATGGTCGATTCCAACGAAAATGTTGGAAAGTATGGGAAGTGGGGGGAGACGAAAAACCCGAAAATATATAAACATATGGGGAACCTGGGGTTTGTGTATATGTACTCGTGTGCCCCTGGGCCTTTTGATTTAAGTACGGCCCGAAGATTGCACCTTTCCCCCCCCCCCCCCCCACACGCACGCACGCACGCACGCACGCACGCACGCACGCACGCACGCACGCACGCACGCACGCACGCACGCACGCACGCACGCACGCACGCACGCACGCACGCACGCACGCACGCACGCACACGCACACGCACGCACGCACACACACACACACACACACACACACACACACACACACACACACACACACACACACACACACACACACACACACACACACACACACACACACACACACACACTTTTTCCCACTGAGCGACGCCCAGCCCGAGGTCATCTTTTGGCCCCCGCAGGACGTACCAACCCAGCTGGGGGGGGGAGGACACACGGGCTCCGTCCCGTGCGCCAGGCTTCCTGAAGCACCCCCGAGGTGGTGATCGCCATCCCGCGCTTCGTCGTGGTGGACATTTGCTCTACGGTGCTAGGGTTAGGTCGGGCACGTCCGTCTACAGGAGGAATATTCAAAAATAGTTAGAAAATGTCCTGGAGACGTTTTTTCCATCATTTTTCTGATTATAATTGATTCTTCAGGCTTACGCCACATCCGCCGACCCCTTAAATGCGTTCGAGCAAGACATGTCTGACGCTGTTGAAAGAGCAGGCGGAAATGTCGGGTGCACAGAAGAAGCACAATTCATCGGGGGAGAGGCTCTGTCGGAAATGCGCGGAGGGGCGAGAGAACGAGGTGCGGCGTGACGTGCGCGGCGTGCGGAAGAACGTTCTCGGACACGAAACAGTTGCAGCAACAACAGGTGGGGAATCATCAGAAGGCGACAGGAGCGGCGCGTGCAAGAGAAGATTACCGAAGTCGGAGAGGTCGTTTGGCGTCTCGGAGCTCTCGTGGGCCTTTTGGAGGCTTCTGGGGATCCTTCTTGGCCCGTGTTTAGGCCCTCTTGGGATCTCTGGGGAGGCATCTTGGGGCTATCTTTGGGGCCTCTTTGTCCGTCTTGGAGCGTCGGGAAGCCGGAAAGGCGGAAAAGCAAAAAACAGCGAAAAAAACGATGGAAAATCAACAATTTTAGACTCTTGGGGCCCTCTTGGGAGGCTTGTTTGGGACCTCGGGGGCCGTCTTGGAGACCTCTTGGCCCGTCTTGGGGCCATCTTGGGCGTCTTGGAGCGGTCGTTTGGCGTCTCGGGGCCTGCGTGGGCCGTCTTGGAGGCCTCTTGGGGGCTTCTTGGCCCGTCTTGAGGCCCTCTTGGGCTCGGAAAAGCCCCGTGAACCGCTCGTCCCGGCCGTGCTGCGCTCGTCCCGGACCCCCCCCCCCCCTCCAAATCGGCCCTCTTGGGCCGTCTTGGGGACCTCTTGGGCCGTCTTGGGGCCGTCTTGGGCCGTCTGGAGGCCGTCTTGGGGGCCTCTTGGGCCATCTTGGGGCTATCTTTGGGGCCTCTTTGCCCGTCTTGGAGCGTCGGGAAGCCGGAAAGGCGGAAAAGCAAAAAACATCGAAAAACACGATGGAAAATCAACAATTTTAGACTCTTGGGGCCCTCTTGGGAGGCTTGTTTGGGACCTCGGGGGCCGTCTTGGAGACCTCTTGGCCCGTCTTGGGGCCATCTTGGGCGTCTTGGAGCGGTCGTTTGGCGTCTCGGGGCCTTCGTGGGCCGTCTTGGAGGCCTCTTGGGGGCTTCTTGGCCCGTCTTGAGGCCCTCTTGGGCTCGGAAAAGCCCCGTGAACCGCTCGTCCCGGCCGTGCTGCGCTCGTCCCGGACCCCCCGCGCTCGTGCCGGACCCCCCCCCCCCCCTCCAAATCGACCGGACCGGGCTCCCGGGGGAGGGGTTTGGGGAGGGGGAAGCATCTCACACGCCGATGATCCCCAAGGGGTCGGCGGATTTATTGTATCATTTTTCCTAGAAGATCAGCCTGATGCTAGGGAAACAAACAATGACGTAAACATGAAAACTCGGAGGTCCGCGCGGATTTCTCGCATCGGCGCTGGCACCCCCTCCCTGGAGCGCGGAGCGCGCCAGGGGCGGCGCCAGAGGCGCCGCCAGGGGGCTCCAGCGCGGGTCCGAGGTTCGCTCCCCCCAGGTGCTGCGGCAGCTCGTCGCGCGCCCGCTCGGCTGGCTCTGTGGGATGCTGGTCAGAGTCCTCCACGGCGCGGTGGTCTTCATCATCCAGTGCGTCTTCGCGCAGCCGACGGCCGTCATCGCGCACATCCCCATGACCAACCCCATCGATGAGCCTGTTTTCCACCACCACCACCATGAGATGGAGGGGGTAAGGAGGAGGAGGGCGAGGAGGAGGAGGAGGAGGAGGACCCCATCCCCTCCAACCTATGGTGGTGGTGGTGGAAACACGCCCATCACCCATGGTGGTAGCCGCCGCGCTCTCGCTGCTGGTGGCGGCGCTGTCGGCCCCGCAGCCGCTGAGCCTGTCCTTCCCCAGCGTCTGCGCCGACCTGCCCGGGCTCGAGCTGGCGCGCGGGCTCCGCGCCTCCGTGGCCGAGTCCAAGCGCCTGGGGCCCCTCGTGCGCCGGCTGCACTCCGCGTGGAGGTCGGCGCGCAAGGATCAAGCAGTGGCGAAGCGTCCTGGCTCGCCTACAGGTCTACCAAAGAATGCTCTGAGAACCTGGTGTGGTTTGCACGATGTGTTCTTAGAACATTTCTGGCTGGGACAGTCTTGTTTTAACACATCGGGTTTCTGCGCTCAGATCGTTGATTTTGTTCTGAGAACACATTTGGATTCTAGGACAATGTCGTGGTAGGCTTATAGGAATGCTGGGACGGTCGGGCCTTGCTCAAAGGTCGGCGCGCAAGGAGGGGCGGCAGAAGGCGCGCGGGGGGGCCCCGGAAGCTGCACGCGGGCGCGGAGCAAAAGAAGTCTGTGGTGGTCTCGGGAATGGACCCAGTTTGAAGAAGGAGAATAAGAAAAAGAAGACAAACAAAAAAACACATAGACAGAAACTTTTGGCGATCCGCGCGGATCTCGTGGACCCTCGCTGGGTCCCCCTGGCGGTGCCTCTGGCGCCCAAAGTTTATGGTTATGTGTTTTTGATCATTCCTTTTGGACCGTGTTACAGGGCTGTCCATGAAGAAATCGATGAGATAACGCGTGCCGATGTCACTCGTAAGGTTCGGGGAAGCTTCCAGCGAGGGCCCCGTTTTGCCCCCACTTTGTTTGTTGTCCCGCCCTGGGGTTCGGTGGAGGGGTCTGCGAGAGTTTTGTTTCCCCTCCTGCCTGGCAGGTGCCACGTCTTCTTTAGATCTCCCCCCAGCGTTTGGACAACAAGTGGAGCACGAGACTCATGGGGGGGAAATCTGGCTTCAGGACTGAGGTCAAGCGGTCGGTTGATGTGCAAGCCTTCTCTGAGCCGGGACGATTCTCTCCGAAAGTGATGTAATGTCGTTATTTGTGCAAACGAGTTCTGCATGTTTGTTCTTTTTCGAAGCAGGGTTCTGTCTGCCCTTGAAAGGCCGCTCTGGTCACTGGAGCTGGCGCGCAGACCGACCAGCCGACCTCTCTCATCCTAGTTCTTTATTCCATCCTTTCCCTCCGTCCTTCCTTCTCTTTCTTTTTCTTCTTCTTCTCCTCCTCTTTGTGTGCAGCGACGTGCTAAACACGTAGAGATCGCAGACCATCCTCCAGCCACGCGGTCGTCGTATTCCTGCTCCTCCACCTCTCCCCCTCCCTCCCCCATCATGCCTCCTCTATTATCTCTTCCTCCTGGTGTTCTTCCTTCTCCCTTCTCCCCTTCCTCTTCCTCCCCTCCTCCCTCCTCCCTCCGTTCTCCTCCGCATTATTCTCCACCCCTGCTCTTGATGAGGAACAGCTCCTTGTCGCACTCTCAGACGTGTCGGTAGGGCGCGCCGTGCGTTTCGCCTGAGCACTCCTCACCACTAATGACCCGAATCTTGAAATTCAGAGCAGCTTCGAGGATGGAGGGCGGGTCGTTTTCAAAATGTGTCTCTCGCGTCAGCGCCGCGCACATTCGTTCAAAAGTTTGCAGCAGCTTCGCGGATGGAGGGCGGCCCGTGTCCAAATTGTGGTTCTCGCCTCAGCGCCGCGTGCATTCGTACAGTCACACATATTCGTATGCTCGAAATAGGCACACATTAGAATTGTCAGGACGCAACAGTCACGTCGATCCGCGGCATCGAATTCCCAGGAATTGTGTTCTGGCAAGGTCTAGGACTGTTGGGACGCGACAGTCACGTTGATTCGTTGCGTCGAAGTCCCCGGAATGGTGTTCTGACACGATGGAGGATTATCAAACGGATGTCTTCCAATTGGACACTCCCCGCAATGAAATTGAATTCTTGCAGGGGCCCAGGAGGAGCGAATCTGGAGGGAGACTTGATTGAAACATCGTGCCTGGGCTAAGAGTTTACACTCCTCCTCCTCCTCCTACTCCTCCTCCTCCTCCTCCTCCTCCTCCTCCCTGACCTTCAGCTTTGCGGTCAGCATTGCGCAGCTGGCCCAGCCCTGCCCCCCTACACCGTTTGCGCCTGGCAGGCGCAATCGTGAAAGGCTGGCGGAAGGTAAGCCCCCCAAGGGCGGCATGACCTTCCCAGCCCCGTAACTGTCTGGTGCCAGGGCCCGAACTCGCATTCATGTTACTCCTGTTTGCTGGAATCGCTGGAATTCTCCCTTACCTTATTCCCTCGCCTGCCATATCCCCCTCGCGACGCCCTCCCCCCAGAGGCCGGGCTGAAGGGGATCCCGACCAGCCGGGGCCAGAAGGACGCGGGCCGAGGGGCCGACCGCAAGCCGGACGCCCCCGGGCGGCCCGACAGGCCCCAGGTGGTGAAGCAGGACGGCGGCCGGTCCTTGCCGCTGCCGCTGCCGCCGTGGTCGTCGTCGCCATCACACTCGTACGGTCGTACGATCGGTTCGGGGAGAGTGCCCTACACCTTAGGCGATGCTTAAGAAAACTTAAGTTTTCGGCCAGAGTCTCGATTATTCTTAACGTTTCAATTTAAATCCTAAGTTTGTAATAGAAATGTTGGGTTTTTATCCAAGTTCTGAGACTATGAATTTCTTAACCCATGATTTCTTAAGCATTTCGCAGGGTGTACTGTTCTTCGTGTTTTTGGGTGTTATGTGTGCATCCTTGGGGGAGGCATCTTCGAAGGCTCCTCAGTTTGGGCTGGCGGAGGGTCTCATGTTCTAGAAGCATGTTCTTCTGTCCCAGGTCCGACCGTAATCGTTCTCGTTTTTCTGCCCTTCCCTCTCGTCCTTCCTCCTTTCCCTCCTCCTCCTCCTCCTCCTACTCTTCCTTTTCCTCCTCGTCCTTCTCCTGCTACCCTCGTCCTCCATTCGTCGTCGTCCTCCTCCTCATCATTTCTTGTTGTCGTCCTTCTCCTCCTTCTCTGCAGCTTTCCTTCCGCCTCCTTTTATCATCCTGTTCCTCCTCCCCCTCGTCGTCTTCCTCCTCCATCCAGGGGCAATAGCACTACGGCAGCAAACCGCTGAATGGGTAAGGCTGTGGCGCAGGCAGGAACCTCTCCGTGATCGCGTTCGTCAAAGCTGGAATCACATCTACAACATGCTCACAAACAAGAGGAGAGAGAGAGAGAGAGAGAGAAAAAAAAAAACAACAACATAAAAAAACACGAGGTGGAGAGCGGTGAGCGGTCGGATGGCGGCGCTCATCACAAGACTTGCTGCGATAGAACGGCATGCTGAACAACTTGATCGGCGGATCGATCATCTAGGTGACGAGCGGACCATCACAGACGACGACGAGCTGGACTTCACCGATCTACGCCAGAAGACCAATCGCAGGATCAACGACTTGCTGTGGAAGCTAGCTGCGCTACGCACGGAAGGACATGGGCTTGAGCGTGGAGATCTGTATCGAGCCAACGCCTCCGCGGCATCCGTGAGGAAAAAGAAGTTCGGCAAGGAATCTGGATCGCTGGAGCCCGTCGTGACGGGAGGGTTGTAGAATCAAGCGTGACTGGGCGCGGTTGAATACGACACATCGGTATGAGGTGGATGCGAAGAAGCGTCGGATGATACCATGCACCAGATCTACAGCTGCGAACGCAACGGCGACATCCAACGCCCTTGGGTGGAGGCTACTACAGACTCACCCGACAGAACCAGAAGAGGGAGGCAGGATGACCCATCGCTCAAACCCTTGCGGTTCCGAGGCATTCTACGAGGACTTCTCAACCAAGTCTCCAGCCCCATGTCCTGGGAGGAGAATGACCATTGCTACTTCTGCGATGTTCAAGAATATGATGGTTGTGGAAGACGATCCATGGAGAAGAGGCATGTTCCCACATACTTCCCAGATGTCTAAAACATGTGTCAACCATGCATGCAAAATGCTAAGTCGGTTTTTTGCCCAACAGCTTTCCAGCATCTAACTCAATGATAGAACGGTTCGAGTGTCCATTGGCATGGCATCTACAACATGATGAAAGCAAACCTCCCACCGTGAGGCGCGGGTATCACAGAGGGTCGACGGTTTACGACAAACGCTGCTTTCATGGATGGCCCAGCAAATTCCACGGACACAAGGATTGCCCGAGCAGGAGGGTGTTGTGCGCTAACAAGTCGCCCACCTACGGATTTCACCAGACTACGGCGTGAGATCTGGAAAGCGAGCGGTGCCCAGCTCGGGGATAGCTGCTCTGGCCCTTCTGCCTGGCGGTGACGGAGGAGCCCATCATCGCGCGGGCGGGCGCGCGCATTGCGTTGGATGGACGGGTTGTTCAACGAGACGCGCAGCCTGATGGCATCAACAAGGCACGGCGGGGAGCAGTGGCGCAAGCTCTGGCGGCGAGACCGCGGGGCAGAAGCCAAGTTGACCTTGGGAAATGCTACTCCCACCTTGACGAATCCACCCATGGAGCTCCACAGTCATGGCGCTGCCATGCGGCCCACTTCGGGTCCGGAAGGGGCTTGGTGATTCCTTGGGCCTGCTCGCTTTCCTTAGCGATTTTGCTGGGCGCCCCCTCAGCGCCCCTCGGGTCGCGTCGCGCGCGGAGTTGATTCGCCAGACGGGGCGGGTGATCTAAGGGGCGAGGGCCTGAGAAAGGGGCCGGGTTCCTTGCGCCGCTGCGAAGATAATGCGCCGCGGGTTTGTTCGGCTTGTTCTTGCCGCGCGCGGCCTGAGGCCCGCGCGTGTAACCGCGCGCAGAGGCGGCCGCGTCGCGGCCCAGTTCCTCGCGCGAGGCCACCTGTTCCATGCGCGACGCGGCGTGAAGTTCACGCGCGTGCCCGCGTGTGAACACGGTCGCGCCATGGCCCAGTTCTTCGTCCAAGACCCACTTGTTCCTCGCGCGGTGTGGTTTGGCGCTGTCGCGCGTGACCCAGTGGACAAATGGCCGCAGTGCGGCCTGGTTCCCCTCGCGAGCTCCCTCTGCTTTCATGGCGTAATTGGAAGCGTTGCGCGCGGGAGGGCGAGCGGGCGCGCGCGCGCGACGCGGGGCGCGTCGTCTCGTGATGCGCCGCGCCATCTGAGCGCCCGCAGGACTCGGGTGAAACAGCTGATTTTCAGAACTCATTGTTTCATAAATCTGCCGTTCCCGACTTTTCACTGCGCGCGCGAGAGCGCGCGCGCGCCGCGCGCGCAATGAGAAACGCCTGTCTGGCAATGCGTTATATCATCTCGACGCCCTCAGAACGCGAGTTAAAACAGTGGTTTTCACCGCTCAGTTTTCGAAGTGGAGTTGATCCTTCCCCATTGGTCGTTGGATTGCGAGCGCGCAATAAGAGCACGCCCTGTCCTGCAATGCGCCATGTCATCTTGAGCCCCCAGGAGAAACCGCTGGTTGACGCAGTATGGTTTTTTTCCCAGAAATTATCAACGCTTCGCGCGCCCCTGCCAGCCCATCCAAAACCGATGCCCAGGCTAATCGAGACAAGGGCGGCGGAGGAAAAGAGGATATGGGGGGGGAGAGAAGGAAACGGAGGAAGAGGGGGGGGGAAGAGGAGGAAGGGGGGAAGAGGAGGGGGGGGAGGAGGAGGGGGGAGGAGGAGGAGGAGGAGGAGGAGGAGGAGGAGGAGGGGACGACGACGACGACGACGAGCAGGAGGAGGACGAGGAGGACAGGAGGAGGAGGAGGAGGAGGAGGAAGATGAGGAGGAGGAGGGGTGGAGGAGGAGGGGAGAGGAGGGAGGAGGAGAGGAGGAGGAGGAGGAGGAGGAGAGGAGGAGGAGGAGGAGGAGGAGGACGGAGAAAGAGAAAAACGAGAAAGACGAGACAGAGGAGGAGGAGGAGGAGGAGGAGGAGGAGGAGGAGGAGGAGGGAGGAGGAGGAGGAGGAGGAAGGAGGAGGAGGGAGGGAGAGGAGGAGGAGGAGGAGAGGAAGCAGCAGCAGCAGCAGCAGCAGGAGGAGCAGGGGGAGGAGGAGGAGGAGGAGGAGGAGGAGGAGGAGGAAGGAGGAGGAGGAGGAGGAGGAGGAGGAGGAGCGGATGACTCTTGGACGGCTGTTAGAAGCTTCACGGGGCGTCTGGGGGGCACTTTGGCGGGCCCGAAGCAGTCCTTGAGCGTCTCGGGTGCCTCGGGGATCCTCTCGGGGCCTCTTGGGCGTCTCCCGGGGGCTTCTCGGGGGCCCCATTGGGCGCCCCCTGGGGCCGCCCGGGCGCCTCATGGGTCCCCCTTCGGGTGCTCTTGGTTGGGGGCTTGCGAGGGGCGCTATTGCAGCCATCCTGGAACGCATCGATCAACAGATATGGGGGCCCCTTTTCGGGCCCCCCCTCGGGGGGCGGGGCGTTTGGGGGGCCTCTTGGAGCACCTTGGGGGCCATCTGGAGGCATATTGGGCAATCTTGAGCCGCGTTGGATTTCATCTCAGGCTCTCTGAGGCGCGCTCTGCGCCATCTTGGGCCATCTTGGACGCTCCAGCCCCTCACGTCGACCCCTGTCCAAAACCCAGGGGGGGGCCCTTCGAATGGGAAGCGAGGTCGGAAGAGGAGCCTGGAGCCCCCCTAGGTAGAACACCTGCGCCCAGAGGGCCGGCGGGATTGGATGGGCCGCCCCCGATGGGTCGACGCCCCGCGCGCGCGCGAGACCCAGCGCGCGCGAGAGCCAGCGCGCGCGCAGCAATGCGAGACGCGCGTTGTCTCGCAGCGCGCCGCGCCATCTCGAGGCCACTCCCAGTTGACGTTTGCACTGCGCGCGCGCCCGCGCGCGCAGTGCTAGATGCGCGCGGTCTTGCACCGCGTCAAGATCTGGAGGTTCTCAGAATCCAAGTGATGCGATGGTGTTCGCTCTGCTGCATTCGAGATGAAATTTGCCAGTCTCCATGGGCTGGTGCCTTGCGCGCTTGGGGGTCTTCAGAATCCAAGTGAAGCGATCGGTCTTCGCTCTTCCGCATTCGAGATGAAATTTGCCAATCTCCATTGGCCGGTGCTTTGCGCGCTCGAGTGCGCGCGCGCCACCTCGCCCCATAATGCATTTGGGGCCACTTGTTTTGACCATTTAACTCTTGACATCGATTTCGCCCCCCCCCATCCATCGTTGAATTGCGCGCGGAAGAGCGCGCGAAATCAGAGGCATGCAGTCTCACCGTGCGTCGCAGCATCCTGGGGCCCTTTCAGAATGGGAGTGATGCAGTTGGGTGCAATCTCGTAGTTTATTCCCGGCGGAGCCGGGTAGAATTCCGTGCCAGCCGGTGACTCGCTGACTTGACTGACTGATTGATTGACTGATTGACTGACTGATTGACTGACTGAACGTCAGGAGGGCGCCTTGAACAACGCATTTCAAACCGCCCGCGGGCGCGCAGACGGCAACTGGGCGACGCATTTCGACCCGTCCGCGGGCGCGCAACCGCAACCGCAACTACGCGACGCATTT